AAGACTGTGAATCTTGGGGGTTCAGATAGTAGGGCTTTCTCTGCAGCAACGAGAGAGGAAATTTTTTTTTCTACTGAAGCCTGAGACTTTTTCACAAGAGTTACTGTAGTTCAGGAAATGGCAATTAAGGAAAAATTGTCATCCTGAGAACTGCAGTGCAACAATAAAGATTTGAATCAAGTAATAGTTCCTTTTCATATCTGCAGGCTGGTAGTCTGAGTGGAGAAAAAAACCCTCTTAGTTCCAACACAATGCTATAGCAAAGCTTTTGCTGTAGTTTTAGTATAGTCATGTTTGACCTTGAACAAGTGCAAAATAAATAAATTCTTGTGTTCTGTGCACTTATGTGATCCAGCTTAAACTATGTGAGTAGCTTCTTCTAACTCTACTTATAATTTACTCAAGTTTCTCTAGAAGCATCAGCCTTCACCTGCAAATTGTGCTTCTGCTGCAAAAGCATGTCTCGGTATTTAGTTGGAGCCTGCTGTGTGGTGCATCTTACTGTGTTTATTGCTTTCTGTCATAATGATGCTTAAACTAAGAAGTGGGTTGAGACCACACAACTTTGTCACTCAGGCCTTCAGTTAGCTGTCAGACAATAACAACTTCAAGCTTTGCAAGCATGAATAAGATTCATACCACTGTTTCTCTGTGTGTGTATCTCCTTCTTCCAGACAGTCCGCTAAATCTGTTTTTCCACCCAGAGCTAAAAATTGGTGTTATGTACACATGTTGGATAGTTGTTTTCTGTGGTCTGTTTTTCTGTTGTAAAAATGGTCAAATACTGGAAGAAGATAGAGAAATTCTGAAATACCCTGCATGGGAGGCTTGGGAACAGGTCCCTTCTCAAAGGAGGGTGTAAGGATGCTTCGTCTTGCCTCTGGGCTGTGGAAGGGATGAGATACCATCTTGTTCCTTCAAGCTCTTCCTTTCCAGGTCTCGCTTCATTTTCACTGCAGAGTGCCTGTTTGATGGTAGCAGAGAGAATTGGTAAGTGAGGACATGTTCTTGTGAAAATGGAAAACGTGGAAATCAGAGTATGCTGTTATAGAGCAATCATCCAATAGTTTGTCTTTCTTCGGAGGGGAGATATTTCTGTGTCCCTGGCCTGTCAGTGGGGAGTGCGGGGCTCTTGCATGTCTAATCATCTCACTCAGTGCTACTGACACTGACTGAGGTTAGTTTTTGATTACTGGGTGTGCTCCTTCCCTGCTGATCTATCTGACCTTAGGGCTATACAAATGTCTGTATTGCAAATAAAGTAGTAACAATCCTGAATTGTTTTGACCTTTTCCAATTTGCTATTGTATGCAATAATATGATGTAAATCCTGACAGTAATAATAGTGTTTTAATTTCTCAGCAGAGCAGTTCCACCATTCATTGGTGGCTTTTAAATATTTTTTTTCTTCCCTGTAAATAATTCTCAGTGCGAAGTGTCTCATCTTTAGGATTTCCATTGTTATTTGCTTTCTCCACAGCAGTTGTAATAAAGGCTACTTAAATCCTGTAGAATAAAATTACTTCTTCCATGAAGTACTGCTGTTTAATTTTTATTTGTCCAGTTGGTGTCACTTAGCAGCTGACAGAGCTGTGGGTGCCAGCAGAACTATTGGAGCACGTAGTCCATCCAGTACAACGTGGCAGAGTATTTTCAGCTATTCAGCTTGTTGTTTTATCGCCATTAACTTGCTGTTTGTGCCCTGAAGTTGACTGAGGAAATTGGTTTAGACTTGGAATGTAATGCCAATCCAGTGTCAGCCTTGAACAAGACCTGTGGGAGCCCCTCTGAATAAAACGGAGAGATGTTTGCAGTTGCAGCTATAACCTGTAATTGTCTTAGTTTTGTTTTCAAGTTATAGATACCTATTGTTAGAAAATTGTGTGTGGGGAAGGTGATTTTTTACAGGTCGTAAGCATTGATGACTCTGTGAGATCTTCCACATCTGCTAAAGAGCTTGAAAATTATCCCCTTTCTTTAGATGCTTAACCTATGGCTGTTTTGGTGATGTGTGTTAGTACAGTACCTGTTAATGTTCAAACTCCGAGTGTCTGCATGTGTCCCCAGTTTTTCTCTGTGTTATTAGGGACAAATGCTACTATCATGAAGTTTTATTTTTCTTCGGTAATATTAAAACAGTGTTAATGCTCAGTTATTAAGTGGCTGAGGTATTAATGTAGGTACAATAGCTGATGAAATAAGTAATTTGAATTCTTCACAAGGAGTGGATTTCCTGAAGGATTGTCTTGTGTTATGTTTAATAGAAACATTGACATCTGTGTGTGTGTCTATGTATATAGATGCTTTCGTTAATTGCAGGACTGCGGGATCAGTAATGTGTTCATTTACTCAGCCCTCCTGCAGTAGTAGAAGAGGTGCTGTCAGTTGAAAAATAGGAGTGTTGGTTTAACTGTGGCTTGAGTTTCAGATGCTGTTTCAGTATTTCTTCTGGCAGGTTGCCTAGCTGTGCTAATGACCAGAAGAGCAAGGAGGTGAGGACCCCCTGCTTGCCTTTGCCACCAATGTTAGCGTGGGTGGGCCAGCATTTGAGGCCTTGGCTCACCTGGAGGCTTCTGCTCTCTGGCATTGCTCTCTGGCTGCTTTCATGACACCACTTGTTCCTGTCTCTTATTTTGTTAGCTTGAAGGGATTCTGCTACACCTTTTGTATAATGCCAGTATACTACCTTATACGGTGTTTGCTGTTCTCCAGCTTTAGGATTTGAATGTATTCCCAGATACAGATATTTCAGTCCATACACTTTCTTACTGTTATAGCCCTGGCCTAATCACTTGTAGGAGATGGCAATCTAGTTCTGCTTGGCTGACCCCTGACTTTCCCTAAGGGAGAGAGACTTGAGTCTGGACTGAAGTCCAGGTGAACCAAAATGCAGAGTGAGATTTGGGATGGCAGAGAGAGGGAGAATACAGGCAATTCCTTTTGCTTGGAAAGCTGTTGTACTTCATGTGTTCTGTACCAAAAGATGCTGAGATGCTGATCAGCAGCCTTACATGTTTAAAAGGTTGTGAAGTTGAAATGCTTGTTTTGAGGGATCAGTTCAGAATTCTTCCCTCTCCTGTTGGCTACAGCACCACCGAAAGCTGCCAGCTGGAACAGAAAAACACAATGGCCTTAAGAGTAAGGCTATATATATATATAATACATGCATATTTTTACCATACCTGCCTATACACTTCTCAAGGCTGCCATCCCTCATCTGGCTAAGAGTGCAAGCCAGACTTCGATTTTCTTGGCTCTTAACAGTTCGAAGTCATTACCAGCAGTACTGCCTGCTAATACTGTTACAAAAATAACAGGCTTTGTTATGTCACTGAAGGATAAAGATTCAGCTAGAAAATTAATCTCGTGGCCTTCCTTATTTTTAACTGCTTGCATCTCATGGCTGGCTGCCTTCTTAAATTTTAATGTCTCTTGTGTTTGTGTGATGAAACTTGCACTTGTGGGGAACAGTAAAGTATCATGGCGCAGATAAGAGGAGCATTGCATGCATACACTGCGGAGGTGTTTACTGTCTTTAACTGTTTAAGAAAGTGTGCAGTTTCTGGTGGTTATGTTCTCATCTGTGGATCAGAAGCTACGCACTGAGTTGTGACTGTGTGTGCTTTGTGTCTGAGCCTCATCCTAGTAGCATAGAATTGCAAGCTAGTTTTGAAGTGAATGCAAGCTCTTTCGTTATGTGGAGATTAAACATCAAGAGGTATGTAGCCACAAAGAAGTATGGGAGGACACAGTGCAGCTTTTGTGCATTCACTGCATGACGCACATGGTGTATCCTGTAAGAATTCAGTGAAGATTATACATGCAGTACAAAGTCTGGCATTTTGCAGCTTTGGTAACATATTTTCTTAATATAAATTTTAAAAACCCCACAACTGTTTGCTACAAGTACTTGTGTTTCTGAACTCAGGACAAATAATGATGCAAAAATCTGGATTATCTGCATGATCTCTCAGTGCTTTTCTTAGCGTTGCTAGAAATAATCACATGGACTCCTCAGTCAACTCTTCTGTAGGGTATGGAAGCTGCTACTTGTTTCTCTTTTTAGGGGCAGAGAGATAGTGAAGTTGGCCTTGCAGAGGAAAAAGGCCTATAAAACAAACAAAATTATTTTTCTGCCTTCTGATTGGGGTTAATTCTGACCTCGTGAAGTTCTGATACCAAGCTTGACGTATTTTTCCTTAGGCTAAAGAACTAAAAGTCTCTCTTAGGCATCTGATCCATTTGGCTGCTTCTGGGAATTAGTGAAGATTACAGCAAATGCACAATATCTCAGAGACTTTGAGTTTTGGTAATAAGTGCTTCTACAAATCACAATTTTTGGTGGCTAACAACTTTTCCAAATCCAGAGAGATTTCCATCTAAGATTATGTGTGATAAGGAACCTGCCAAGAGCAGCCAGTTAGCAGCATTTTTATCAATGTAGATACAGGTAGCTGAAATATGAAAGCCACTACCTTTACCAAGTCTTGTGATGAACATCAAAGGGAACTGATTAGGATGCTCTGCCTTGAGACATGGAAGGTACTGTCGTACTGTACTTTGATTCCTCAGTTAAGGGTACCTGCTAGTTTCTGTTTAATTCAGAGCAAAATTGGGGTCTGGATAACTACAGACAGATTATTTGTGGGTTTTGAGGTGCAGGAGCCCAAGAGTGTGAATCTTTGTGGGACACTTCTGCATCTCCGGAAACTGAGATTTTCAGGTAGGTCATTTGTTTTGCATCTTCTGCTTGCCTGATCTACTGTCATCCATCAAGAAGTCAGGAAGTAATAATAAACCCTGCATTTAACCTGTCTGTTGGCTTTTATTGTGACATTCTAATTAATGCTCACATCTGACCTATTTTTTTCCTGTGCTGTCTGTTACAGTGCTTTGTGGCCACAGCAGGATACTAAACAATATTAGAGGAGACCGACGTTAAGACATAATTTCCACGCAGCTGGTTGGCAAAGCATTTGTCACTGCCTTCGTGGTGCAGCATGGCATTTCGCCTTGGTGTTCTCTGCCTGCTGCTCTGGGCAATAACAGGTAGGAGTTTAATTCTTTTGTATCTGAGTCACACAGAATGAGTGAAGCAAATGCTCCTGGAGTGTGTACGCAGGTGTGAATGAAGTATGAATAAGGCAAGAGCTGGGAAATCTTGTGACTCCTCAGTGCAAAAGTTTCTTGTAAGGTACAGCTTCGTAACTGGCAGTTGATTGCAATGGAGGAAGGCATTTGTGAGTGGCGGTTTGGAGCCAGTTTCGGTAGGGCTGTTTCAGGGGAGCCGCGTAGGGCAAGAGGGGGTAGAGGGAGAGTTGAGAGAGTTTGTCTTCTCTTTCTCTTGAAGGACAGCAATTTAAGAATGATGTATTGCTTATGTTCTACCTTTTTTCATTCCGAAGTATCATAGGATTGTTGATTTATGAGAACCATAAACATATTTGTTTTACATCTCTCACCTCATCATCTGCTTTATAGATGTATTTCCTTTCAAAGACCGGAGGAAAGTCCTGTAAGTTTCTGCTTCAGCCACGGAGATAGGTAAATTATTTCCATAGCCAGACAGGTGAAGAGTGGTGGTAATTCTTAATACTGCTTCTGTGTCATGGGGCGACTTAGTGTGGTAGAGGCAGTTTTGACATGGCAGCTACAGAACAATATATGGAAACATGGCATTTATTTCCTTAAAAGACAGTGTTTGTATTCTGGCTGTGAAGGTACCGGCAGTATCTATATTAGCAGGAATTGAGAAAGTATATCTCAGTTATATGGCTTTCATCTCCTGTAGTATACACAGGATTGGCTGTTTAATGAAGGAGAGCCTTGCTAATGTGCTGAGGCTTAGATCAGCTACTGAATTTGGAAATGTTGCGTGAGGGGGATAGGCATTAACTACAAATGTGCTTGTAGCTGGTTTGCAGTAGTCCTCAAGATCACCCTGACGATCTCATAGTGCAAAGCTTTTTGAGGAGAACATGGAGCTGATGTTTTTGTTGCTGTAGTAAACAATAAGTATGCCTTTTGTAAATAAACTCGCCTATGAGAGGCTGAGTATCTGCTGTAGGGTCCATGCTAGTACCGTTAGAAAAAACCCAGCAACTTCAATAGAATGCAGTAATGTGCAGTAAATACTGAATTTTCACTGTAGAGAAAGTCACAGTTTTAAGCTTTTGATAATGCTGGTAATTGTTTTCGGGCTAGAATATCCTCTGTGTGCATATAGAAAATCTTGTTTTCATTCTTTAGTTGCAATTTTGCTACTGTCTCTTGACTGATCTGAGCACAAGACCATTAGACTAATACTGCTGGCCTTACTCCAGGCCTCTCCCTGTGTCTCAGGTACTAGCACACAGTGTTTAGGGGCTAATGCATTCTAGTATCACATATTATTTTAGTATTTATTTATTTCCATCTCAGTAGTTTGCAGTATCTTCCATCCAATTAATATTAACTCTAACTAAACTGGAAGGCACTTGCTGATTTCCAGGATATGTTTGCTGAAATATATCAGTGGATACTCACCTTTACATTAAAAAGACTTGTTTTTTGTGCAAACGTTAAGGTGAATTGACTCAGGCTCAGGAAGTTGCTAGATGTTTATTTTGCAGTTTTTCTCTGCACATGAGCTTGTGTTTTTAAAGGCTACTTTTTCTTAAAAAAAAAAAAGTTTTCTTACCACTTGTTTTAACTGAAGGTAATAAGAAGGCTGATTTAATGTAAGAAAGGCTTGACATTGCATTGTTCAGAGAATAGAGAAACAGGTTCATTAGTGAATATCTTTGGAAGGATATTGAAGATTATGCTCTGCTTTGTCAGAAGAAACTTTGGGCTGCTCTCTCCTCTTCAGATGGCAATTTTTTGTGTGTGTGTGTGGTGGCTTTTGGCTAATAGCGTTTGACTGCTTTTCATAAATGTGGTGGGTTGACCTTGGCTGGCCTCCCGGTGCTCAGCAAGTCGCTCTGTCACTTCCACTTCTCAACAGGACAGGAGCAAAAAATATGATTAAAGCCTATGGGTCAAGATCAGGACGGAGAGGTCATGTACCGATTACAGTCAAGAGCAAATCACACTTGACATAGGAAAGTTAGTTTAATTTATTGCCAGGTAATCGCAATAGGATAATGAGAAGTAAGAACAAATCTAAAAACACCTTTCCCACACCTCTCCCTGCTTCCCAGGCTCAGCTTCACTCCCAGCTCTTCTAACTCCTCCACGAGTGGCTCAGGGGGATGGGGAATTAGGGTTGCAATCAGTTTGTAGTGCTTTGTCTCTGATGCTCCTTCCTTCTCACGCTCTTCACCTGCTCCAGGGTGGGGTCCCTCCCACAGGATACAGTCTTTCACAAACTTCTCCAACGTGAGCCCTTCCACTGGGTTACAGTTCTTCAAGAACTGCTCCAGCATGGGTCCTTTCCACAGAGTGCACTCTTTCAGGAATGGACTGCTCCAGTGTGGATCCCCTGTGGGGTCATAGGTCAGAAAATAGGCTTCTGTGTGGACTGCTCTCCCCAGGGCTGCAGTTCCTGCCAGGAGCCTGCCCCAGCATGGGCTCTCCACAAGGTCACAGCTTTTCTTCAGGGCTCAGCCACCTGCTCCTGCATGGGGTCCTCCCTGGGCTTCAGGGTGAATATCTGTTCTGCTGTGGACCTCCACGGACTGCAGGAGGACAGCCTGCTTCACCATGGACTTCACACGGACTGCAGGGGAATCATCTGCTCTGGCACCTGGAGCACCTCTTCCTCCTCCTTCTTCACTGACTTCGGTGTCTGCGGGGTTGTTTTTCTCGTGTATTCTCACTCCTCTCTCCTGACTGCTGCTGTTGTGCAGTGTATCTTACCCCTTCTTAAATATGTTATCACAGAGGTGCTAGCAGTGTTGCTGATTGACTCGGCCTTGGCCAGCAGTGGGTTCTTCTTGGAACTGGCTCTGTCTGACATGAGGGCAGCTTCTGATGTCTTCTCACAGAAGCCACCCCTGCAGTCCATTTCCCCACACCCCTCGACTACCAAAACCTTGCTACTTAAACCCAATACAATGAAAACCAAAGCTAGAACAGTAGGCAGACCACCTAATGGATACAGGTAGCTGTTATAAAGGCTAAGAGCCAGTTATATTTATTAAAGCCAAATTTATTTAAGCAAGCAAATAAGCAGGCAAAAACAGCGCTGGGCGGCCGGGGGAGTCTCCTGCTCCACCAACGGTGCGCCAATAGTGGATGCAAACCCTCTTTTTATAGAGTTCCTATTTCCTGCATACGTGACTTTTGGTATTCTCTGCGTTGTGTTTGCGCTTGCGCGACTAGTTGCTAGGTGTTTGTTGGGATGAAGGCCGAAGTCTTTCTCAGGCGTCCTGCTGTCTGCTCGTTCATCCCCCAAGCCATTCTTTTGCTTATCAGCAGATGGGCCATTCCCTTACCTTACTTATTGTTCACTCCTCTGGATGTCTGCGGCTCCAGCTTAAGTTGCAAAAGAAACTCTAACACCCACATGCGATTTCATGAACAAAGTTAACCCATTCATCACAGGGTTTCTTCTCTTTCTCCATCAGCCGGTTTGAGAACAAATTTTATATGTATACATTTATTACAGTAGCTACCACTGCTTAATATTTGTGCCTCTCAGGAGGCTTGAGCTGGATGTGGCAGTAGTTAGTGTGTACCATGTACCATGCCTCTGTCACTCAGCATCTCATGCAATTTGGTTGACTGACTTCCCAAACCTGTGGATGCAGCTCCTAATTTCTCCACACAGGCATCCCTTATAATGCCAGTCTTATTTCACTGGCTTATATCCATTCCTTGATGAAATCAGCTTATATTGAAATAGATTTAAATTATTCTGGCCATTAATAAAAGTCAATAGTTTTTATGGTAATGCATAAATTATTTTTTTTCTTGTGGGAGCTAGAAGACATTGCTTTCCACCACAGAAACAATTGTTCACTTTGCAACTAGGAATCTAACACCTTGAAATCAATTCAGTCTAGCTCTCATCTTGAGCAGGAATATTCCAATCTGGCACGTGAGGCAGACCTTGCAAAATACTGCTATTGAAATGCATTTCTGCAAATATAATAGAATTCTCATGGCCGACTTCCAGTTTTCTCATTCTGTGTGTTCATATTGTGGTGCGTTGTTCTGAGATTAGCCACTCCAACAAAACAATAAAGATGAATTGGCAGGTAATTACACTCTTAGGTGTTGTGTGGTCTGGTCTCCTGTTTTTAACTCCGTCCAGCCCAGCTGTACATTGCATGACCTCCCAGAGTCTTTGCTAGACATCACCAGTATCCCTTTCTTTACTCTAGGAGAAGTTATTTCTAAATACATTACAAGCCATTAATTTTCAACACATTTCACTGCTGTTGGTCTTGGACTTTGAAGAATAAGATGAATACCTTTTTCTTTCTGTGTATCTGACACATGAAACACAGACTAGCATTGTCAAAGGATGCTTAAAGATGTAGGTATGCCTTTGAAATAACAGTGGAACCACTAGCCTGGGATCCCAGTGCATTCTTTGTTGCTTATACTGCCATGGCTAGATGTTCTAGTAATGTGTTCTGGTTCACACAGGTCTCTCCAGGGAGACAAGATGGTATAGTGCATGATTATGGTCTTTGAGATTATAGCGAGTTACGCAGTATGCCAGGTTAGTTCACATTGTCCACGTCTCTGTTGGAAGTGGTCTGGTGTTTCCTTGTGGAGTGGTGCAATAGCTGCACCTACCTTTCTAGTCTCCAACTGCAGATACCCAGTGTCATTGATGGGACAGACAAGCCCTCTGTTGAGTGATTCAGTGTGCTTAGATGCTCATGTGTAAGTTGAGGGAAGAATGGGCTGTGGGTTGGATGAATTATTTTGACAGGCCAGATCTGGTCTGCAGTTTGGGTATGTTTGGATTGTAGGCATATGCACAGCCTGGTAAACAAAAAAAGGGGCAGGGAGAAGGGAAAGTGTTCTTTAGGCATGGGAGTTTTTTCTTTCCTCCCCTCCTTTAAATAGCACTTACTTGATTTATCAGTGACAAACAGGGAATGATAACAAATTCATGGAATGAAGCTGATACTTGGAGAGGACCATCAGGCCCACTGAACTAATCGGGGAGCTTTGAGAGATCCTGAACACAGGAAGTAAATCGTAAACATCATGAAGGCTGCTGTAATGGCCACAAAAGTTTTGCAGCTCATTGTTTATGGATGTAATTTGAGTACTAGTGGCTTCAGCTTTGTGTAGAGGATATGCTTTTGTGTAACTGAGCATTTTTTTTGTCTATTTGTTCTCCTTCTCCTTCCCTTGCAGTGTTTAATCTGCAGTCAGCATCCTTACCGAGGCCCAGAAGAGCACTTTGATGTACCCCTCTTTAAAGACCAGTGAGATTTCAAGGAAAGGGAGGGGAAACACCAAATAACCTAAGAGCAGCCTGTAGAAAAATCATGAAAACACATTCATAGTGTACAGAGATGTTAGCAGTTGCTAGAACAACTAATGCAGTGACATTTCAGATGTTGATGAAGTTCTCAGTAATATGGCTTTTTTTGTTTTCAGGGCAGTATTTCTGCAGGCCGTTACTAAAGCTGCTGGAGTATAAGCCTTTTTCAGCATTTCTGATATAAAGTGTGTTTTTTAGGGATTTATAACTGCTGTGGAAGTTGGCTCTAGCTTGAAAACTGGAGTTCAACTTCTCTTAGGTGACTGTAATTAAGGAAAAAAAAGTTATTTTGATTTTGCTTTCAGAACTGTATCAAAATTGTTTCAATGTGTTATTATGGTGGTAGGAAAGACAAAACTTACTTCTTATTGACACAGCATCTTTCCTTTCAAAGTTCACCAAAATGAGACACAAGTTACTTGAACAGATAAAAAAAAATATCATTAATCCTAAAAAACAGAACAGAACTAGTTTCTTACTTAAAGGGAGTGCAGGGAGCAGATGTCAAGAAAGCAGAGACAGTCCTCCTGTTCCTGTAGGAAACTGCTGTAGGACCTTCCACGCTCATGTAGTTCAGAGGCTTTCAGGCTGCGATAATAGGGTGCCATGTAAGCAATCAGTGCTGTGCTGCCAGCAAGAAGGTAATGGGAGGTGATTCTGGTCAAATGTTACTTTGCTTGGTGCAAGTTCTGAATCTAAGCTGCTCTTCTCTATTGCACATTCCCTTTTGCCCCTTCTTTGTGCACCTTGCGCTGATTACTGCTTGGGAAAACAGAGACCAGCCCTCAAGTGGATAGTTCTGTCCTTGCAGAGTTTCAGACTGGGGTAATTATCCGTGATGAACCCAGTGTTAATACACTGTAACAATTTACTACTTACTGACTAAAGAATATTTGCCTCCAGGTCATTGGAATGTTCATGGTTGTGTGAGCCTGCCAGAGAGCAGGGAGAGCGTATGTCAGGTTTTGCAGTTAGTCGCCATGTCCAATTGAGGAAAGGTCTCCAGTCAGCTGTGATGGAGGAACATCTGTGTTCCTGTTGGATTCTTGACATCAGTGGACTCATGCACCAAGATGTGAAAGTGTGGTAGCGTGCAGCTCAAAGAAGGGTGTGGATGTTTCCTCACTAACAGAAGGAATCTCTTTAAAATGAAGCTATATTCCACAGTGTGACTGTTTATTAGGGTTGGGGTGTGGGGAGGTTGTAGGGTTTTTCTTAGGGTAACCAGCTTGGCTGATGAGGTCTCAGGGTATGTCAGTGTTGTCATGCTATAGACATAACAACGTACGGCTAAAAGGAAGGGGAACACTTGGACTGCAGAACTTTAGGCTACTGGAAGCAGTTTTTCTGTTGGTAACCTGAATGAGGACTTCTGAAACAATGAACAGAATGGTATGATGCTATTTTTTTGCCATAACTGGTCAGAGTAGAACAGTGCTTTAGTTTGAGTTCAATTAAGTAAACAGGTGTACTGTGACCTCAGACAGCAGGTGATGGTTTAGCAGACACAAGTGGTACTGTGTGACCTTTCATGTGGCACACTTTGAGTAAATTTTCTGTAAATAAAAGACCTCACTGTCTCTTATTTGAGTGCATTGCATGCTGGGGATTCGACGGGGTGAAGGGGAATATGGAATTAGAGATCAGATAAAGTTCACTCTAAGTAGATCTTGTATATTTTCCATCTGGAGACAATTAATGGACACACCTAATGTCAGGTTGAAGTAGCCTGCTAAATTTGTCTATTCTTGCCCACCCGCTGCTAGAATTTAACTCAGGTGTAACTCTAGCAGAACCAAGAGATGAAACTTGGATAACTTTGATACATGGATTACACTGTTAGAATTAATTTAGAGTTGGCAGGTAAATATTTTTCCTGTTGTGCAGAAATTCTGAAGCTTAATGTTTTTCCCATTCTTTATCAGGATGAAACCAAGGCCTTCTGACATTTGAAAAAGAGGGTAGCTAAGGTCTTTGGCTGGGATGCTTGCTTGGGAGATTTAGGTTCAAGGTTGTGCATTATCTTAGGAATATGCTGGACTTGTTTCACTCTGTGTCTGATGAAACACCATGAGTTTTGTGGGAGGTTGACTCTGCAGTATGATAGCTGATGTATCAAAGTGGCAGAGTGAGATTTGGAGCTTTGACATCAGACTGAGTGAGGACTTCAAGTCTGGCCTTGGGTTAGAGATTTGGATTATTCCAATTGTGTAAGTCTGTCTCTAAGACAAATATTGTTGTTTGTTCTTTTCTGAACAAATAAATAATGAAATTTTCACATTTCTTTTAACAGGTTGGTTACTTTCTCCTTCAGGGATGAGGTAAAGAAGGGAAAGGATGAAAACAGCCCTCAACGGAGTTTTTTAACCCACCTTAATAGTGCTGTTCCGAAAGTATTAATTGTGATGAGTTGCTACTGACCTAATGTTACACATTCACAGAGAGTCATGTTTCTATTTTACTTTATTAAAGGCCTGTTTCTCATCATCCTGCTGACTTACAGGATTAAATTGATACGGGTTGAAAAAGGATGGAATGGTTAAATGGGCTGCCTGACTCCTAAACTCCATTTTAACCCAGACTTCTGCTGGGTTGTGCAGACAGCTTAAAGGAAAGACTTGTGATGGCCATTCAGAGTCTCTCCCAGGGTCTTATGTTCTTGGAGGTGAAAGGGAATGTAGAGAAAATATATGCAATGTGATAGAAAAAAATGCACAAATCCTGAGCATCTCCTGGGTATAGATAGATACCTCAAGTCTGTGCTATGTTAGAATAGGATAGGTTTTTTGAAATGCATGTTCCCCTGGGTAGATTTTTCACTGAATGTGTAAAGTAGAATAGTAAACAGCATCCCAGGTCTGTGTGAAGGAGTAGCTGGAGTCAGAAAAATGATACTTGAAGCTGTTTATCCTTTTTGTTAGCTTCCTATTCAGCTATACCTATTTGCAAGTCATTGATCTTTCTAAAGATTTTGTTTTGTTTCGTGTTTTTCCTCACCCCAAATAGCCAGCTCTGCGAAACAGTCATGAAGTCTTGTTCTCTCTATCTCTCAGTGTGTAGTGCTTTATTTTTTTGGTTTGGTTTGAGTTTGTTGCGTTGAACTTAACCTACTTTGTAATCTGTATGTTTATCCCAGGCAGTATGGTGCCCCACAGGTATTTCAGTAGCTGTGTTCAGATCTTGTATTGTGGAGGAGTGTACTGCAGTTCAGCCCAGAAAGTGTGGTGGGAACTGTAGTGTGGTGGTTGGTCACACTATGCATAGGAGAATCTCCGTGTCTCCAAGGCTGTGGGTCATGGTCAGACCTAGCCCCTAGTACTGGCCTATTCCTACTCCTTGATTTCATTTTTCTTGCTCATCAGCTCAACAGATTTGAGCTGGCATCCATTAGTCAAGCTGCCTTTTTCTTTTTCTCCTGCTGTATGCTATGTGAATAATGAGGTTTCTGCTGCCAGAACTCAACTGACAGCTTTGTTAACAATGTGCAAGGCAGACAGAGTCAACTTTGTCTTCCATTACTGTGTTAGCTCCACAGTGGTGACATCTTGTTTTTATTGGCTGAGTTAGCAAGTCTAGTTGAAAACTGTGTTAAGAAGAATGTCCTGGTTTTACTCAGCTGTTTTTTGAAGCATGGTCAGATGTTTTTCAAGTTTCATTTTGGAGAT